AATTTTATCATTGGAATAAATCATATCTATATATTTACATTTGCGATGCAACCCGATATATGAACATTGCCAGCGGAAATGCATTTAATTTGAGTATGGAAGCATAAACTCTCGTGATGTAACATGTGGTTTACTAATGACGTCATGGATTAACCTTGTTCAATGAGAGTCTTGTCGCTCCGCTTGGGATAACATGGAGAAGGCCCCTACGTGAAACACTCAAATGACTACGGTTAATAATTGGTGCCAATTTTATTTAAATAGGGCTGTTCTGCGACTGTCGTTTAAAGGACGATACATATACAAAACGCAGTAAATTAATTAATTATTTGAGAACAAATAAATTAAATTAAAAAATTGTTCTATAGTAAAAATGTAAATATATGGATTGAACAACGTTTTTGTCATTTTCATGCCGGTATGAACGCAAATCGGTTACATCCATATTAAACATGAAGCCCTAGCGGGATGAAAATTACAAAAATAAACACTGCTCAGTCCATATACATTGACTGAGATATTGTGATATAAAAGACAGAATATATAAATCAACAGTTATGTACCTCACAGGCCTTTTTTGCAGCTTCCACTGTGTCAAACTCCACAAAGGCAAACCCTTTAGGGTCCCCTGTGGTCTTGTAGCGGGGAATGCTGACATACAGAACCTCACCACAGGTGGAAAACATTCGTCTGACCCACATGTGGTCCACATGGTGGGGGAGGCACTCCTAAAAATACAACAGGTAATATTTGTATATAACATGGGTATCAGGTAAAACTTGTCTCCCACATAGGTCACTGGTAAACTTTAATTATTTAATAATAGTAACCACAATATACCACTGACTGTCATAGTGACCACAATATACCTCTGACTGACATAGTTACCACAATATACCTACGACTGTCATAGTAAACACAATATACCACTGACTGTCATAGTAACAACAATATACCACTGACTGTCATAGTAACCACAATATACCCCTAAATGTCATAGTAACCACAATATACCACTGACTGTCATATAGTTACCACAATTTATCACTGACTGTCATAGTAACCACAATATACCACTGACTGTCATAGTAACAATAATATACCACTGAAATGTCATAGTAACTTCAATCTTTCACTAAATGTCATAGTAACCACTATATACCATTAATGTCAGTAACTGCAATCTTCCACTGACTGTCATAGTAAAAACAAAGTCAGCTTTTACAACTTACCACATAAATTGTCCTCTCATCTATCTGTTTTGGTTCTGCTAACGGCCTTGACCTCTTGACTTTTTTACCGTCATCACTGACCTATTAAAAAATATTTGAATGTAGCAATATATTACAACCAAGAGCAAGAGGCCTAGAGGGCTTGTATTGCTCATCTGGATATTTGAGCAATCATGGGGAAATATCCACAATAAAAGTAATTTTGCAAATATTTCCATATATTAAGTCTCCTTGGCTTAAGAATGTTCCAGACTTAACAAAACTTTATATTACTCTGTCCCAGGTACCTACTGGCCAACTATCATTGCCCTGAACCTCATGGTTACTCAGAAGAAATTATTTAAATGTTTGAAACACATTAACTCTTCTGATCTTGAAAGTAGGTCAAGGACATCTGTTTAAGGAAAGTTTATAGCACTTCATACCAGGTACCTACTGGCAAAGCATCATCACTCTGAGCATCCTGGTTATTCAGAAGATGGTTTTGAAAGGTATGACAAAAAGTGTAATTTCGTTTAACATATTTGACTCCTGTGACCTTGAAAGTAGGTCAAGGTTATTTATTTCAAAAAACATTATAGCACCCTGTCCCAGTAACATTTCCAAAAACCTGTAACTTGATGGAGTTATTATGAATACACATAACTGTAACTTGCTAGAGTTGTTATGTATACACATACCTGTAACTTG